CTGACCTTGTGTGTAGAAATAAGTGGGTTAATTTTAAATGACAAGCACCTTATTCCTGAAATATCTGAATCTGTGGCAACAAGTTCATTTTAACTTGAAAAATAAATATATATAATAAATATATTTATTAAACACCTCCCTCTCAGGTGAGACAGCTCATTATCAATTACTTTCTCGAGTAATCGATTAGTTGAAACTGAAAGTGAAACTGAAACCTTTGGTGAAGCATAAATATCATCATAATATACTATTGGGAGCCATGAGATGATGATTTGCATTGATCTTATAAATAACTTATGTTTACGTAAGGTTTTGTGTTACATAATGTGCATATAAAACATAGATGGACTTATTTTTTCATTATTTACAGAATTTCACAGAAAAAAGCTTGTAAAAATCACACAGATTTTATGTGTAACCTGATATTCTAATACTGATATCTGTGATGTATTGGCCATGCTGTTAGTATTTCATTACATATCCAAAAAATGTTGTGCAAAACAGGGTAAAAATCATATTTACACCTATGCATATGTTTTATTCCTTTTTTTAAAATTAGAATACAAAATAATAAGCTTAATTTCAGTAATAATTTAATTAATTGTGTCTGTGTTTGAATGTATGAAGTATTCTGTGAGCTTTACACTCTCAGTTGCAGGTATGAGGGTGCTACACTGGTGCATGCTGGGAGTGACCATCCTGCTGCTGGTGTGCGAGGTCACCATCAGTCAGCTGTGCCACTCACAAATCATCCTGGTGGACAGTTTCCACACACTCTTCATCCTCATGCGGATGGCTCTTACTCCTCCTCCAACTGCAGGCGTAACAGAACCACCTCTCTCCTCTCTGGAGGAGTCCCCTGCGTCTCCTCCTCTTGCTTCCTCCTTCACAGCAGTGCTTCCTTCCACCCTGCCTGCAGAGTCATCGATCGAACCTCAGCCTGGCACCCAGACCACCACTGATGGGTCGACCCTCCCAGATCCACCTCCCACCCCTCACCCTCCAGCTCTCACCTGCGGTCTCTCCCACACCAAATGCAGGATTCAGGCTGTGGGTCCTTTCATTTCCGCTCTCCTCCTGGCCTCTCTGTGTCTCTCTTACATAATGGAGATCATCAGCTCTTCCCTGGAGCCACAACCAGTGCAGCGCCCCCTGCTGCCTGTGGTGGTCAGCGCTGTCAGTGTGCTCCATAAGATGCTGGTGTTCTGGCTGAACTGGGATCAGCAGCAGGCCCTGCAGACCGAATCTCACCTTGAGGTGAACCCCAAAGGTAACATTACCAACAGATTACATGTTCACATTGATATACAAATATACAATATTACAATATTTATCTTTAAATTGTGACTTATAGTTTTATTTATGGTTATTAAATCACACAACTAACTAACTAACATTTGGGTTGCGGGTGTTTATCCTCCGCCAGCCAGACACCTGTTTATCTTTCTGTTCTGTTTAGCTCCACAGTTCATCAGACTGAATACAGCTGCAGGACATCTGGAGCAAAATCTGTTCATTAAAAACTTATTAATATTTACAACAGAAGACTTTTTAACATTTCTAACAGCAGAATCAGTGATTTTGAAGAAAAGTGAGAAACTTGTGACCTTTATAGGGAGAAGAAGGGAGATAACAGAGACAGAAGAACAAGCAGAATAAAGTTTATAAATAAAATAAACAAAATAAAACATAAAACAAAGTCAAAGCAATTTTTTATTTTAAGCACTAATTTGGTTTCTCTGAGCGTTTCCAGATTTGAGGAGCAGGGTCATGATCACTTTTAGTTTTCAGCCCTGACCTTGAAACAGTCAGAGGTTCTCACTCTGAAAGAATCTGAAAAGCGAATTCACAGGAATTGGTTGGATTTGCACAAATTGTTTTACGATTGCAACATCAGAACTTCCTGGAGGGACTGAAGAAAAAGTAATTCAAACAGTGCTCATCGTGTCACCTCCGCACAGCCGCTTGTCCCATTACTATAACTACTGTTTAATCAGGGTTATAAAAGGACTTTAAAGGAACTGTTTTTACATTTTAGTAAATACACTTCTTTTGAGATATATATTATGGGATTGTATATAGGGTCAATATGAAGCTACAGCCAACACCCGGTTAGCTTAGCTTAGCATAAAGACTGTAAACGAGGACAGAGGGCTCTGTCCAAAGGCAACAAAATCCACCTACCAGCACCTTTAAAGCTCAGTAAATAATATGTTACAACTCGTTTGTTTAATCTGTACAAAAAGTGTAAAAACAGCATTTTTAGCTCTTTCCCGTTGTTTTCACTCTTGATGCTAAGATATATAATCATCTGTGCTGACTTTCTCTGGTGGGTCAGATACAAATCTAAGGAGTGACTCCTTGGCGAATAAGGCATTTAACTTATTCCCCACCCTTTTCCATAAGGACTCGTCCTCTGGTTCAGGTGGGGTGTTGATGATGGAGATTTCCTCCATTATTGCCCTCACAATGTCAGAAGCTGCTTCCTCTGTATCCTTGGAGGTGCTGGATACCAACAACCTCTGATCTTTCTCCGACATATTGATTTTACAATCGACAATCTGATTGATTTTCAGCTGATTGATTTTCAGCCTGTCCTAACAGGACAGTAGCTTCATATTTACCGTACAGACATGTGTCTAATCTGTAAATAAATTATTTATTATTTAATGTGTGATGACTGGACTTTTCACTGCACTTAATGAGTCTAATGTCTAAATGTTTAAAGTCCAAGCATGCTGCAGAATTTGGAATTGGTAGCAGCTCATGAAGCATTTTTTAATACAACTGCAGAGTTACTTTCTTTGGCCTTCCAACAATTACTTGTGAGTTTAAATCTTACATATATTGCCAATGGTTTATGCATGCAGCATGTACTCATACTGCCGTTATGTGATAAGAATATTTTATTACAGAAGAATTTAGGTGATGATATTACTCCGACAGATTTCCCTTTGAAGTAACTGCCAAGTGTATATTCAGCTGTAAGGAACATCAATAAGTGTCCATGTTTGTTTTTCATTTCTCTGTTTGACTCCCACAGTCTTGGCTGAAGAGGAAACCAAAGGCCAGGCCGAGCCAGGGCGAGTCCTGTATGACGTTAGACGAGTCCAATCTGCTGTGAACGACTCGCTCCACAATGGGGCGCTTGTCCTGTGTAACCCGGGAACCTCCAGCATCCCTGACGCTGACACTCAAACCCCTGAACCACAGGCAGAAGTCCACCTGCATGCAGCAGCTCAACAGGACAGCAGGGACTGTGAATTAGCGCCCAGTGCTGCAGATCTGAGTCATTCAGAGGACATCACAGAGATTTCCAAAGACAACACTTGCGTGGGACATCTTGGTGAGAGAGTTTAGGTCCTTGGACTTCTCCATCACCTTGGTGTCCTTTAGAAAAAGACCTGCATAAAAAAAAAATATTTTACATATTTGAATAGTTAATTTTGTGATAATATCAACAAAAATATATTCTAATTGTGGTACTGATTTCAATTCAATATATCAAGTCCTCACTGTAGTGGCCTGAGTTTGATCCTAGACCAAGGCCCTTTGCTGCATGTTGCTTTTCCAAGAATCCAAGAAATAGCCAAGAAAGTTGATTGTTGAGTCTAATTCCCAGGTCGTCAAAAACCGACACTTTAAGGAAAATTCGATGTTTTTTCTCTTTTCTCAATGGCCCAAAAGCAGATGTGCAGTAGCTCTGACCATACATGTAAAACCTTTATTTTTTTTTTTACTGTTTTCTCCCCCTTCAGAGAGTCACAACACGTTTAATACCTCCCCAGTCTGCCAGTCATCTTATCCCATTGAGAGGCCAACCAGCCAGTGGCTACTCTGTCTCCTGTCGTTCCTCCTTGTCATTCAGAACCTGTGTACCTCCTTCCTGGCTCTCATCAACAGCCTGGTGATGTCGCTGATCGACCCACAGTGCCTGCACAGCTCTGGGGCCTGTAGCCTCCTGGTTTACCTGGATCCTGGCCTCTCCCTGTTGGCTGTGGTTGTGCTGATTGCCACAGCCAGGCCACAGGTCAGGCTTTATGTGTTTATGTCAAGACCAAAGTCAGAGTACAAATGTATCCAGCTGCAGCTGTATCCAATCCTGCACTGACTGTTGTTTCACTGGTAAATCTCTCCAGGTGCACAGGTATGGACTGCTGCTGCTACAGGCCTCACCTCCACACATCTGTGTGTCCGATCTTGGACAGAGGATTGCGAGCGTCTCCGGGGTGCAGGCTGTGCACGACCTCCATGTCTGGCAGTTAACTGAATCACTCATTGTGGCCTCTGTCCATGTACACTGCCATGCTGGATTTCCAGCACACAGGTGAAGTGGAAAAGTTAGGTTTTTGTACTAAATGTTGGCTGGAAGATGTGGGTTCATTTTTAATAACCGGACACGTATAGTATGTGTTTGTTTGCAGTTCTGAAATAGAGTATATTGTTAAACTGTGGGGCTTAATGTTACCTCAAGCTCATGGCGTTGGGGTTATTTGTAGTGAGTATCAGTCAGAAAAATTGACAGTGATTGGTTTACATAGTTTTATTTCATGTTGGGATAAAACAACAAAAGTATCATCCATCCATCATCAGCTCCACCGTGGACAGGTGACCGGTCTCTCACAGGGCTTACACATAGAGACAGATAATCATACATTCATTTTTTAGATGTTACTGTCTGGTTATCATAAATATGTTTTTGTCCAGATTAAAAACTGTATATTTTATTAATGCAGAATCATTCCACATATGTCCAGGTGTGCTGATCTGATGTCAGATGTCACTAAGGTGCTGCAGAGCGTAGGAGTGAGCTGCTGCACCGTTCAGCCAGAGTTCGCTTCCTGCTCTGAGTCCTCTGTAGGCGGTGGGGGCGACGCCTCCCCTGCCGTCCACAGAGAGGACCCCTCCCTGCCTCCCCTCCTGGCCTGCAGCCTCGCCTGTGGAAAGGCCTGCTCTGGGAATATGTGCTGCTCTCCGTTGGAAGTGGAGCCCAGGAGGCTGCTGGCGCCACCAGCTGGGCAAACGAAGAAAGAGCCTCAAACGCTGGTCATCGAGAACACCTTCCTGGAGGAAAATAAATGAATGATCTGTCTGCCATGTTGGATGGATGATGGATGTAATGTCTCTAAAACGCTGCCTGCACGTTATATGTAAATGTTCTGTTAGTTTTGTGACATTAACACGGTGCTGCACCAAAGATTTTTATGCAAAGTCAAGTGAAATTTAGTGAACAGATTTCTCTTTGTTTGCTTGCTCTCTTGGGTACTGGAACCTGCGTTATGTCTCTCATGTATGTCTTAAAATAAAACAAATAACAATACTAAAGTTTGTGTCTTCATTTTAAGATCATGTAAAATGTATTAAACCCACACAGATACAATTAAGGGTCCAAGAAGAACAAGAACAAATCTATATACATAAGTAATTTATTTCATATTATTATACTGTTACTGTACAGCCAGTGGTGTAAAGTAACAAAGAGTATTTTAATTTTACTACATTTATATGACAAAGTACTTTACAGATTAAGATTTTAAATACAAAATGTGTGGTCAGTTGTGGTCAGTATGATGCATTGTTATAGAAAAACTACACAACAGTGTATGAATGAAGTATGAATTAACCAACTACAACATTAAAGTATTATACATTAATAAACAAATAATAATTATCCAATAATATGGTCTAACATTCACAGTGGCCATTCTGCACAATAAGTACTTTTACTTTTAATACTTTAAGTACATTTTGTTGCTAATATTTATGTGTTTTAGTAAAGTTTTGAATCCAGGACTCTCAGTAGTAATGAAATAATTGTATAGTATGAGCAAAATCACAAACAAAACAAGAAACAAATGATAAAAACAATAAAACCAAGCAAGCAAAAGCACATGAAATGAAGAAAGTAAACTATTTGAATGGCCTACTTCTGTAAGCGTATAAAACAAAACACAAATAAAATCACTGCAACAAAAGCACAGGTGTGTAACTAAAAACAAAACTGGCGGCTCTGCATGCACAATAACTGACACACACAAATGGGATGCAGCCAGTATTAATATCATCAGTCCAAACACTGATTAATATTTGTGTTTTAATTAAATCCCCATCATATCTTTTACCTGTGATGACGAGTGGCGGCTCCACCTGTGTTGTGTTCAGACAGCCAATCAGAAGGCGTCTGCTTTGCATAACAACGCACACACCGCACAACGTTTCCCCCTTTTCTCTGCGTTTATTCCACATTAATATGCTGTGTGGCAACAAAACAGTGGTTGTACTTAATGTCTACGAGCTCTTTCTGATAAATACCAACAGCAGCCATTGTGACGGCACCATGACCGAGAAGGCTGTCGTTGCTATGAGGTATATATACGTCTGGTTGCTATAGAAAAAGTGCCCGGATGAGCCTCGGTGGTCCGGGGTGCAGGCTTCAAACCTGTAGCTGCTTAGCGGCAGAGTGGTTCAATTCCACCTTTCGGGCGGAATCCCGCTCACTTCTTATTCTTACTCTTTTTAATATATTAATAATTGTTGAACTTGATCTGGTGACATTTTAAACACGTACAACTGAAACCGTTTTAATCTTTTTTTTACTCTTTTATAACCGTTAAGAGCTCCTGGCTACGTCACGAGCCTACTTCCTGTCAAGCGTTGTTTCTTGCACTTCACAATAAAAGTCAAGATTATTAAAAAAGAAAAATTACTTTTTGTTTTTCCTTCACAGTTTTTATTCATCCAAACTTAATGACTCAAGTATTATTTTTGAGGTACCTGTTTTTCCATTTTGTGCTCCACCGTAGTTACCTGTCAGCTAACATTACTTTACAGATTAGATTTTATATACAAAACATGATCATTTTTTTATACATTTGTATACAATATTAGAGGTTAAACTACCCAACAATATATACATTTGTTAAAATCAGCTACGCCTCATCCAACTAACGTTACAACCATTGGCAGTATAGGTTACAACCTTAAAATGCTGCTCATATAATGCATCCTTCATAATTTAGCCTAATATCATAACATAACACAAAAGTGGCCATTCAAAAAAAACGAGTCCTTAGGATTTATTAATAAATAGTTATATAATAAATCGTTTTTGTTTTTCTTCACAAACACATTGACATGACATTTGACAAAAACGTGTATATGTTTAAAGCCTCTTGTCACTTTTGCATTTATATCTTTATTTTAAAAGGGGCGATTGATGTTTTTTCATATTTCTATATATTCTCTAATTAAAAATCAATGAATTAATGGAGCTAAAATGGAAAAGGATGTAATTTATAACTCTTTTTTTAACATCACTTACTGTGATTACTCTCTTTATTCTGTTGTTTTCTTTATTGGAAACATAGCAGTCATTAAAATAAATAACACATCAAATGAATGATACAAATATATATATATTAAATCTATAACCAGTGTGATTACTGTGCTTTTATTTTTAGAGGTTAGAGAGAATTTACTGAAAATCTACATCCGTTTTGGCCGGAAACCTCCCAGATTGACAACCTGTGACAGCCAATCATCTGCGAGAATGTCCTGTCCGCTATCCAATCATGTTCCTCGTCGGTGTAGGCGGGCTGATGAATGCGGACGTGTCTTGGACAGCGGAGGGTGCGTGATGTCCTTGCTGTTTGATTTTGATAAAGTAATTTAAAAACTCTGCCTGTGTTTGACAGAGCTCTCTGGTTTCTGAGGTCCCGGTAAGACAGACTATTGCACGTATTTGGTAACAGTATATTAGACTCGCAGAGGCCATGAATCTTCAAATAAGTCGATGTTTGACTGTGTTGTTGGCCTTTTGTCGCTAACGTGGGTAGTAACGTTATGAAGTTATTCACTTGTTTCTTTTAAATCTTTATTGATTAAAATAGAAGAATGAGGCAGAAACTCCTAATCTGCAACCAGTTGATTTAGATTGAAAGTTACCTCACCACTTTTCTCTCACTTAACCATTTTACATCATCTTTTAGCAGGTTTTAGTTTTTATTTTAGTGTTTTTATTGACACACAGCAAACCTGCAGCAGACTAGTATCTTTATCTACTCTTTATATACTTTCCCAGAGTAGAAACACTGGTTGGTGTCTGGGACTTTGGGTAAAATAGGCAGGGGATTGTTAGTTTGTTAGCAGGTTTATCTGGCTGTAATTAATCAGCAAGATTATTAATGATTGATTTATCTTTTTTAGTCATTTATGAAGTAAAATGCCAAACACTCACTGTTTCCACCTTCTCTAATCTGAGGGAGACGAGACATATTCAGTGTGTAATTAATAAAAGTAAGAAAATCAGAAGACTTTTAACATTTGTAAAGATGTGACCATAAAGCCCGCTTGATAAATAAGTAAAACAGCTTATTGAATTAATAAACAGATTATTTTCTGTCAACTCAGTCGGTTAATCATTTCAGTACAGATCTCTAATGTATGAAAGAATATGTACCACTTTAATAATACAACTTGCAAAACTAAGTACAGAAACGTTTCAGCTCTGGACTTAATATTTGGTCATTTAAACAATTCCTGCATGTGGATAAAAAGTGAAAGAGATGAGAAGACAAAGATGTTTTAAAGACGTTCAGCGCTGGGTTTTGTTGTTCTTGTTGTTGTTGATGTTTGTTTCATCCTTACCTTTTTCCTTATTCTGTCTTCCAGATTTCAGATTCAGTCCATCATGCCTCTTCTTAAGTACCCCCCCAAAATCTGGGATGCCCTGAAAATGAAGCAGGGGATCTACTCTCGTCTCCCCAAACACTACCTGAAGTCCCTCGAGCAGAAAGAGCCCACCCCTGTGCATTGGAGGCCTCTGGGAGTCCAGTACCGAGCCAACCCAAAGACGGGGGTGAAGGAACGGGTGCAGGATGTCCCGATCCCAGTCTACTACCCTCCACAATCCCAGGACGGCCTGTGGGGAGGAGAGGGCTGGGTATCTGGCTACAGATACACCAACAATGACAAGGTGAGTGTCCAGGAAGATCATTGTCTTTATTTAGTTACACTACGGTGTGTTGACATGACATGATTATACCGTAACGCACACAGTAAAAGCTTTTAGCTGTTGTAGATTCATACCTAGCTCGGCCTTTATTTGCATGTCACCTCTTCACTAAATCCTTAAATAAAGCAGAACTATCATAACAATCTAACTTGGGCTCAGCAGGAATTCAAACTACTCACAAGTACATTTATTGTACTGTACTTTTGTATTTTAACTTTATGCTACTTTCTACTTCTATTCCACTACTTACTTACTTTTGATACTTACAATATGTAAGTTTAGTTTAAGTTTAGTTTTAGTTTTTTAGTTTTTTAGTTTTTAGT